CGCAGAAAAGTGGGTCCAGAAAGTGAATGTGAAACATTGAATTGAAAATTTCAATAGGGAGGGTAATTCAAACTAGGGCTTATTTTCATTATAGAATTGATTCTGTGATTATGCTGAGAAGAAATGGAGTTTTCATTCGGAAAAATGTTCAATGTTTCAAATTCACTTTTTGGATCCACTTTTCTGCGCACCATGTAAATTCTTCGGTGGTGGTGATCTCGGTCAGTTATCCGTTCAACCTTCAATATTCTCGAATTAATCATGGCATAACACTGAAACTTTCAATTCATATAAAAATTGCCTATGTTCGATAGGCTGCGTTTGTCAGTTTTTCAGGAAAAACTCGAATAATTTAAAAACAGTTATCAATCAATCAATCAATCAATCAATCAAATCTTTATTCCTTTAGACAATAATACATTGTGTCGGAAACGTCAAAATTTTTGAAAAATACATAAAACACACAATACATAGATATACAGAAACGAAATACAGTACAAAATAAAATAAAATATCACTGTACCGGACAATCCAAGAAATCTTGCACAGTATAAAAAGAATGTTGCACCAAAAATGTTTTGAGGCGCGTTTTGAAGACTTTAAGTGTTAAGCTTGATTTAATATTCTCAGATAAATGATTGAAAATACGTGGTCCTATGAAATTAGGTGCATTTTGGGCTACTTTGTATTTTCCAATTTGTGTATGAATTAGGCCTTTCTGGCGAGTATTCATGTTATGAATGTCTTTATTAAGTTTGAAATAGGTTATGTTGCAATAAATATAACATGCAATCTCAAATATGTATAAACTAGCGAGAGTCAAAATATTACTGGATTGAAAAATTTGTTTGCAAGTTTCTCTACGAGGAATGTTAAAAATGCACCTCATAATTGCCTTTTGAGCAATGAAAACATCTTTTGACTTGGTAGAGATGCCCCACAAGCAGATGCCATAACGAAGGCGCGATTCAATTTGTGCATAATAGATATTTACGAGCTGGCCAACATCTAGTACTGTTTTTAAGTTCTTGAACATGTAATAGGATGAGTGTAATTTTGAGATTAGCCCCTCACAGTGTGACACCCAGTTGACGTGTTTATCGAAGTGAATTCCAAGAAATTTAACTTTCATTTCAGGTATATATATATATAGGGTATGATACGATAACTTGAATCAAAATCTTGGAAGGAATTCAAAAATGTTGAACAATACAGGGTGTTCCATTGAAAATAACAAAGATGACGTCACTTCCGGAAAAATCAGGAGCCTGACAATAACGACAATATTTTAGATGCGGATTCTCCATGTTTCTTTTACCATACCTACAATTTTTCAGAATCGTGATACTTTTATTTCTCCATATAAAGATCGCGTTAACTCATGGAGATATACCCTGTATAATAGTCAACAAAATTAACTTGAATGATATCAATCCAAATATGAGAACACATGATGTAGCCAAAAGAATCCAATATTTGCTCCTCATCGCGCCTTCCGTTGTAGCATGGTAACCAATCCCTGCTCAGAATTTCAAATTGTTCCAAGGTCGTTCAGATGTCTTGAGATTTGGCATCTGAAAATGAATATGGAAACAATCAATTGATTTTATTGTGCCCATTTCCTGCTGGGAATATCTTATAGAGAGTGAGTATAGAGAACCATAATGAGAGTATTGAAAAATGTTCGAGTCACTTTCATATCTACATGGAGTCGTGTGAGATTGAATTTATATATGAAAGGATGAAATCACACTGCATACCTACTGTTTTATACCGGGTGACAAAGAAGATAGAGAATAGCTGCGGCGAATTTTTTCCTTACATTCATAATATTTCGCACTAATTTTGTTCTCAATCAGACTTCCCTAATATACAATAAGAATATTCATTTTCCGAGGCATTTTCACTTATACCCTGATGCCAAAATGATATATCCCTAGGTATCATTTTAAGTATCATCATAAAGTCTTGAAATGGCGACGTAGTGTCGTCTACCCTGTCTTTCATTGTCAACCAGTATAGGTATATATTATTATAACAAGTTATGAACATTGTAGTTACTTACCCTGTAACTTAGATGAGAAACACACATTATCTTTAATCACAATCATGATTTACGATTAGAAAGAGATGCTTCAGTATGAGCAATAACAACCAAACACGAACTGCATACTAACACCCTGACACCGAATGATTGAATGAACTGAAACAACGAAATGGATGAGACAAAAGCATGCCGTCGCTAAGGAATTCACAGACACGTGTACATCAGTCAGACCGACACCGGCCGAGTTGTGTACGAATCTTAACATAAGTCACATTGTGCGCTACATTCATGAGTATGTGAGTACACTGAGATTTCCAAGTATCGTTGGATATTACTTTCATAAATGAATTTCCTTGAGATGTGAGAGAGATTCACAAATTGAAGCATATTTTCGTTTTTTCATTCCGCACAATGTGAATCAGTTTGTCGTTTCAGATACATCAAATTGTGACTCTCAACTACTGAAATTTCAGATTCTCAAATTATAGTCTTTGTGAAGTTGAGGGGCGTCAAAAATATAATATCCATATTGGTCTCAGATTCAACAGAATGTGATGAAATTTGTGAACAATCTGTCACACAAGGAATTCCTTGTAGATATCAGCGATGCAATATTGTGATTCGCTTTTGTGACATCAACTGCCATGAATGCGACATCTCATAGATGTTTGTGTTAACTGGGTTGCTTGATCTGTATTTCATTCGTTATTCTCGGGATGGATAACTTGTTTTTGAATAATCACGGCAAGCAATCGTTTTTTCGTCTCAAACAACGATATTGTTTAGCTTCATTAGATTATCAAGTCAAACACAGTGTAGTATGGAGAGGAATGAATAATCACTATTATCATTGTTGATATGCTCTAATGCTCACTAACCAAACATTTTCCACGTCTTGTTCCTATAGCTGGCACTGGCGCGGTATTTATTGCCCTTAGAGCACCCTGGTCCATACACAAATATGTCACTCTGTGGTTGTATTTATATTGAAACTACAATTCGAACATCCTTGAAAACCTAACCTGCTGTTAATGCAGGTAGAATATTCTCACCACACGGATTATTTGTCAATATTTGTTACATTGCATACATATGGCACGGCATTGGTGGTTACTTTCACATGTTTATTTGAGTTAATTGTTTCGGTTGCAGAAAAAATAGCATGTTTCATTCTGATCAAAAGTGACTTTGTTCGACTCGCAAATTTTGCTTTCGCGCGGCTTCGCTAAACGCTCCGCCTCGCAAATGCAAAATTCGCTTGTCAAACAAAGTGTCACTTTTGATCCTAATAAAACAATCTACTATTATATATTTCATGTCCGATAAAAATCTGAACGCATTCTTATATACGTTCTCTGGTGGCCGTTGATGATTTTGTTGATATTCCAAATATTCATTTTTTTTAATGAAGCTGCCATTCTCAAAAAAACAAGCGAAGAAATCAGTCAAATAATATCCTATCTCGCACCAAGGATCTCGCACCTTTCTCGCATTCGACATCAAAATATCGACTGCTTAAGACCACTCTACAATTTGTCTATCAAAAAATTTTCGAATGCGTCATTCGAGAATGAGCACTCACGTTTTTTGTTCCACAATGTAGAAATCTCGCATGCGACAAAATATCTCACCATTTAAGAATAGGGTCACACAGGTCGAATACCTAAACCTGATCCCTGATCTAGCACTAAGTCCCTAGTGGTCCGAATTGTCCACGGGGTAAAAGAGGCCTTTAATCAAGACAAAAATACAGTTACATATGGTCATGATGGATGTCGAGAAAGCTTTCGACACTGTCTGGCACGAGGGACTAATGTCCAAGATGTCGAAGGCTATAGAGGGGGTGCCCATTTATATCATTGAAATTGTGGACTCGTATCTGGAAAATCGTGAAATTAAAGTGAAGGTGAATGATACTGTTTCTGGGGATTTTCCACTTGAAGCTGGTGTTCCACAAGAGTCGTGTCTGTCTCCTCTCCTGTACTCATCAATCTACATGAATGACTGTGTTCGTGACATTTTAATGCAAACAAAACACAAGCATGCCTTTTCTCTAGAAAGGCTCATCTCACTGTGCCCAACATATAAGCTTTTCAGGAGTAACCATACCGTCTGAAGACATCTATTTCGATGCTTGGTATTACTGTATCTCAAAAACGAAGCAACTTTGGACATATGTTTATAGGAACTTTTCTTCCTAAAATGACCTAACGAATCACCACCTCTGCAGTTAGGAACCGTAGTTAGGAACCACCCTGTATAAAGGCGATTGATGATCTCGAACATAAACCCGCTCGCTTAGCTCGCACGTTATAATATCTCGATCATTAATCGCCGCCTCATTAATACACTAGTTGATAACTATTACTTTGGTGTATAAATAACTATTTCCTTAATGTCACTGTCACAACAATTGAACTTTTGCTTTCAAAACGTCAACAATGAAGGGTAAAATTCAAATAAAATAATCGAAGCTCAACCAAAGTTTGGAAAAAATCATGTTACCATCTCGAATATAAAATATATTTTCTTACACTTGCTAGTTGTTGTACAAATAACTATTGTATGAAACTATTGTATGTCCTTAGATATGAAATAATTAGCTTTTTCTTCAAACTTCTGCTAGTATGAATTTGAAAGAACTACTTTCAAATAAGTTTGAATGTGAATGATTCAATGCCAGTCCATAAACTGATTGAAGGCTAAATAATCAACCAAATAAACTCATGAGTAAATTGCTAACCTCCTTACCATCATAACATGATTTCAAACCTGACAATCAGTGCATCACTCCTTGAATTCTTTGATGGATGTATGTATGCATAACGCAACAACTGCTTATGAACAACCAATATACTGGGTGAGTCGGGAGGAAGGCACCAAATCATTTTCAACTTTGTATTCTTCTCATGGAAACTCTTCTTGAATGAAGGAAAAATAAAAACACACCATATATGCACAGTATAAATTTGGTATAATATCGAAACATCAACAAGCAGTCAGGCGGGCCCACAATTCTCCCTAAATCATACATCCAGAATGAAATATCAGAATAAAATTACAAACAAACCTATACATGTAAATAACCGATCAACTGATGACCGACAACACAATATTGACAAATCAAATGAAACAGAACCAGAAGTCTCTGAAAACTTTATGAAACAGTCCTGTGCACAAACCGCGAAATTTCAATCAAACGAAATATCTTCAATCGATGTACTGCGCCAACCAACGGAATCCTTCTCCATAACCTTGTCTTTTCAGGATAGAACACATGAAGAGTTCTAGCGGTCGCCCGGGCAAATCTGATCGGGACACCTTACCCTGCAACAAACAAAATCATCAAAATTTTAACCCCAAACTGGTATAGTGGAGTGTTTCAGTACCCCACTAGTGATAAGCCTGCGATAATAATGTACTCTTAATTAACTAAGTGATTTGTTGTTTCAGGTATTCCCCTAAGTTCGTTATATCTAGAAAATCCTAGTGATTTTTTTTGCAAAATTCAGACAGTCTGGAAAATAAACGGTGATTGGGGTATGCAAATAAAACCCCTGCCATTTTTCTCAATATGAAGCGAATCTTTGTTTTCTTACCACGGGCGTCAATAGGCTGAAGTACGAGTCTACAATAGCGACTAATATTTTGTCGTCCTTAGCAAAACCCCCGTAACCAACAAATTCATTGATGGTGTAGCTAGTACTAATCAAACAATAACATGTGGTGGCCCCCAGGGCACAATATTAGGACCAACATTATTCCTGATTTATGTCAATTCAATGTCAAACTAGCGCCTCCGGGGGAAAATAAAATTGTTTGCTGATGATACCATACTACTTTATTCAGGTAGATCTATAGAACAAATAAGTGAGGACATGATGCTTGATCTCCTACTTGTTGAAAAATGGCTTGCAAGTCACAAATTGACTTTAACTACCGAGAAGTCACGTTTAATGTTTGTCTCTAACAATAAAATCAATTCAACTGAATCTCTAATCTTTGGCACTAACCAAATCAAATATGCCTGTGAAATAAAATATCTAGGTCTATACATTGACTCAACACTGGCATGGAGTAATCACATAAATCGTTTGACCAAAAAGATTAGTGCCCCAATTGGCATCTTGAAGCGTCTGTCGTGGTATGTACCAAGATTTTTACTAAGACTCTCTGATACACTGCCACCTTCAATATCTGATAATGATTTGATTTCCAGCCTTTAATAAATTGGTGAAACAAGTGAAAACACTCCAAAATAAAGCCATCAAAAATATATACTCACTGTCCTATAGATATAGAACAATTAATCTTTATAAAAACTCGAATCTGTCATTTACGACATGTGATAGTTTATATTTGTTGAATGAAATGAGGCTTTATCTCTCAGATGTGAATTGTGACCCTGTATGTTGTGGTTGAGTATCTATGGAAGTTTAGTTGTTATAATAAAAAATATCATCTTGAAAGTACTTCTGAATTTTCTTCTCTGGATTACTTAATATCACAAAAGGTTATGGGCCCAGTGCAGGCATAAAGTCTTGGAAGTATCCAGAAGAAGGTCATTGTGAAGAAGAAAGGTCCAAGAAATTATTAGAGTGTATTTTCAACAAAATACTGTTCCTGGTGACAGCAATTGACATAGTCTGTCCACTTGACAATTAACCTGGGTGTTCATCACAAGTATTGGAAATCACCTACATAGCAAGTTTCACAAGTGTTAAACAGGGTAGAGTGAAAGAATATAAGATGGACAAAGTCAGATCACTTTCCATACAGAAATTTGAAGGCAGCAATTTCCAACTGTGGAAGTACCAAATGGAAATAATTTTCAAAGCTGAAAAAGTTCATGATTTGGTAAGCGCAAAGTTATTGAAACCAGCGGATAATGCAAGTGAACAGCAGATTGAAGACTGGGATAGTCAAAATGCTAAAGCAATGCTGATAATATCTTCATCCATGGAATTTGACCAGCTTCAAACGGTCATGTCATGTGAAACTGCATCTGATAATATATGTGGAAACGAATGAAAATAATACATGAACAACGTTCTGCAGTGAATAAGGTCATTCTCAAACAAGAATTCTTCAATTATAGAATGAGTGAATCAGACAGTATTGCTAAACATATAAGCAAAGTTGAAGCAATGGCACAAGCGTTGACCGATGTGGATGAAAAAGTGAGTGAGATTGATAAAATTGCCAAGGTCTTGGGCAGTCTACCAGCGAAATATGGCTCATTCATAACTGCTTGGGACTCATATGATGAAACGAAACAGACGTTCGAGAATATTGCCACTCGTTTACTGAAGGAGGAAACTCAGCTCACTCATACAGAGGAAGCAGCAACTGCATTCGCGGCAATAAATTTGAAAAGTAAAAACCTAATTTCATAAAGCCAAAGCAACTCAGAAGATTCAAACAATAAAACTAAAAAAAAATCTAACATGCTATTATTGTCAAAAGAGAGGGCATTTGAAAATAGAATGCAGAAAAAGGAAAGCAGAAGTAGAAAGATATAATTCAAGACATCAAACACAGGAGAACAGAAATCAAGCTCTTAGCGCAGAAATGAAGAATGTATCTACCAATGGTTATTCAGATGTGTGGCTAGCTGATAGCGCCGCATCTAGGCATATGACTTTCCATGAAGAATGGTTCTCAAATATGAATGTACTGGATCATGAAATTCCTATTCAGGTCGGTGACAATTCATTCGTATATGCTAAAGCTGTTGGATCCATTGAAATCATAGCACTGGATGATGGTCGTTCAGTGCCAAAAACCATCGAGGATACTCTGTATGTACCGCAGTTAAAGAAAAATCTCTTCTCAATTGGGGCAGCTACAAAAAGAAACTACAAGGTGATCTTCAATCATACAGGTACTCGATGGAAATGAACTGCTTGCAAAAGGCATAAAACAAAGCAATCAATGTTATGTGATGAAGTTCAAAATTGTTGAAAAACATGAAGCAAGTTCAGCGATCACAAACCCAGTCATGCTTTGGCACGAGCGTATGGGTCATGTGAATTTTCAAACTCTAAAAGAGATGGCGGATACTGGTAACATCTCTGGACTGAAAACTCGAAATGTTGATGGATATTTTTGCGAGGCATGTCAATACGGTAAACAGCATCGAAAAACCTTTAGAGAGATAGTGAGACAAAACTTACACAAAGTAGGAGAATACAGTCATGCTGATGTATGTGGAAGGATGCCAACGACATCTCTAGGTGGTGCTGATTATTTTGTGTTATTCAAAGACGATTGTTCGTCTTATCGTTCTGTTTATTTCATTAAACACAAAAGTGACGTTTCCGCAAAATTCATGGAATTTGGAAAATTTTTGGACCAAACCGGAAATTCCATCAAGATATTCAAGAGTGATAATGGATTAGAATTCAAGAATCGCCATTTCCTCGATCATTTCAAGAAGAACGGTATTATCCATGAAACCAGTTCACCATATACGCCAGAGCAGAATGGTAAGGCAGAACGCGACATCCGGTCTATCACTGGAAGTGCAAGAGCCATGCTGACAAATAGTAAACTTCCCAATAATTTATGGGCAGAAGCAGTCAATACTGCTGTACATACTTTGAATAGAAGGCCGTACAAAGCTAACCAAGAGATAACACCATATGAAAAATGAACAGGTAAAGTCTATATTGAATCATATGAGAATGTTTGGAGCAGAAGCTTATTCATTCATCCCCAAACAATTCAGATCCAAATTTTCTCACAAGTCCACAAAACAAGTGCTGGTTGGTTATGATGGAAACAGCACAAATTACAGAGTGTATAACCCAATCACAAGAAGAGTCACAGTTTCTGCTAATGTGATCTTTAATGAAAATTTTGCACGAGATTCTATTACTGGAAATAACCACATTTTATTCGTACCTAACAATCAAGATGAAATAAGAGAGGACATAGAAAATCAGGAAGAAGAGAAAAATACTTCTACACAGGAAGTTTTTGACCTAGAAGAAGAAGTCAAGATTCAAGGAAATGAACAGGAATCACCAACAGTGGGAGCAAGCCGAAGTCTTCGAGATCGTAAGAATATTCATAGACCTAGAAGATATTCGGACGATTAAGCAATTGCATGTTCAGCAATAGTTGATGAACCCACAACTTATGATGATGCTATCTCATGTGACGAGAAGGAATATTGGAAAGCCGCAATAAAGGAAGAAATCGATTCCTTGAAGAAAAATAACACCTGGATATTACAAGAATTACCACAAAATCGTAAGAGTATACCATGCAAATGGGTTTTCAAAATCAAGTATAAACTAGATAGTTCTATATACAGATATAAGGCTAGATTAGTAGCTAAGGGCTACTCACAAACAGCTGGGTTGGATTATAATGAAACATTTTCCCCAGTTGTAAGGTATGATTCAATTCGAACACTCTTTGCAATAGCATCTATGAAGAAGATGAACATCAGCCAGTTCGATGTGAAAACCGCCTTCCTGTATGGAGATTTGCATGAAGAAATATGGACATACCAGAAGGCTTTATCACAGAAAATTCCAATTTGGTGTGTAACTTACAAAAGAGTTTATATGGTTTGAAACAATCGTCCCGTAACTGGAATGAAACATTTGTTGGATTCTTGAAAACTTTCAAGTTCCATCAACTTGAATCCGACAGATGTGTTTTCTATGCAGAATTTCAGTCAGAAGTTTATTTGGCATTATATGTCGATGACGGTATCTTACTCTGCAGATCTACAAGTTTACTTGACAGAATATTGCAAGAGCTTGGACCCAGATTTGAAATAACAATTTGCAAACCAGAAGTTTTTATTGGAATAGAAATTTCGAGAACTAGTGATGGTCAAATTTTCATTAATCAACCGAATTACGTCATGAAAATTCTGAAGAAGTTCAACATGCAAGATTGCAAACCGTGTGCAGTACCTGCAGATCCAAATAACAGCTTGCAACTTGATATGTGTCCTAAAAATGATGAAGAAAAATCAAGAATGAGAGAAATTCCTTATCGAGAAGTCGTAGGTAGTTTAATGTTTCTCGCAATTGTGTCACGTCCAGACATAATGTTTGCAGTTAGTCAAGTCAGTAAATTTTTGGCTAATCCTGGTATTGCTCATTGGACGGCTGTGAAACGCATATTGCGATATCTACAAGGGCCAAAGAACTTAGGCATCATGTATTCTGGAGAAGAAACGAAACTGACAGCTTTTTCCGATGCAGATTTCGCTGGGGATTTGGATACACGACGCTCAACAAGTGGCTACATTCTGGCGAGTGGTCCTATCACTTGGGCTTCTCGTCAACAAAGATGTGTGTCACGGTCTACAACTGAATCAGAGTATGTAGCTGCTTCTGAAGCAGCTCAAGAAGTTGTTTGGCTGAGACAGTTTTTAACGGAATTGAATATTCCTATGGATCATCATACAATATTGATGGTTGATAATCAGAGCAGAGGAATGCTGATCAACATCATCGACGTACCAAGCATATAGATGTGAAGTATCACTACATCAGAGAATTGGTCGAAAATGGTTCATTGATGATTTCATACATCCCCACAGAAGAACAATCTGCAGATATATTCACGAAAGCAGTTCCAAAAGAAACATTCCTGAGAAATTTGAAAATCATAGGTGTTCAATTCCCATCAGTCATAAAGAGTGGGAGTGTTGAATGAAATGAGGCTTTATCTCTCAGATGTGAATTGTGACCCTGTATGTTGTGGTTGAGTATCTATGGAAGTTTAGTTGTTATATTAAAAAATATTATCTTGAAAGTACTTCTGAATTTTCTTCTCTGGATTACTTAATATCACAAAAATATTCATATAATACACGCAATAGCAAGAAGTTATTCTTACCCAATGCATCTATGGAAGCCTATAACGAATCCATTTGCTTTAAAGGTGTTCAAATATACAGGGTGTCAATTTGAAAACTTCCCACCCTCAATATCTCCCTCCAAGTCGATAATATGGAAAAACGAAAAGACAGGTCGATTTTATTTTCGAGGGGGACATGATTCTTAAATATTTTCAGCCCCGCGGCGTTGCCGCTTCTAACGAAAAGAAGCAACAACTTTGTTATTTCGAATGGAACACCCTGTACTTTATTGCATTTTTAGATTCTCACTGAGAAGCTGATTTCATCAATGTATCACACTTGGGGTCTAGCAGGAATGATTACAGAGATATAGGGTGTTCAAAATCGAGATTTTACAACTTTAGGATTTTTTTGAGTCGAAACTATTCATTATTGGTCAAAACGGCTTTTATGTCCCTATCTCAACTTTTGATTTACTATCTACTGACATTTATTTGAAACAAATACAGGGTGGTTCAAGATTCAGACTTTTGATCACCCTGTATTTGTTTCAAATAAATGTCAGTAGACAGTAAATCAAAAGTTGAGATAGGGACATAGAAGCCGTTTTGACCAATAATGAATAGTTTCGACTCAAAAAAATCCTAAAGTTGTAAAATCTCGATTTTGAACACCCTATATCTCTGTAATCATTCCTGCTAGACCCCAAGTGAGATACATTGATGAAATCAGCTTTTCAGGGAGAATCTAAAAATGCAATAAAATACAGGGTGTTCCATTTGAAATAACAAAGTTGTTGCTTCTTTTCGTTAGAAGCGGCAACGCCGCGGGGCTGAAAATATTTTAGAACCATGTCCCCCTCGAAAATAAAATCGACCTGTCTTTTCGTTTTTCCATATTATCGACTTGGAGGGAGATATTAAGGGTGAGAAGTTTTCAAATTGACACCCTGTATAATCAACTGCCTGTTGAAATAAAAGAATGTAACAGCAAATTATTTAATAAAAACCTGAAAAAATAACTTATGAGTAAATAGACGCTTTGAATTGATTGATATGGCTACATTTGTAATCTTATCAAGAATTTTTGTAAAAACGCAAAGTAATGATAAGTAGTGACAAATTCTGTGATATAATTAGGCTATTTTTAATACTACACTGCAACCAATGTACCTGACAAAATGTACTCCATAATATAAATTATTCTTCTTTTTTCATATGACATGTTTTATTTAGATTAAGGACCTCTATGAAAATGTAATTTTCCGTGGTTCAATAAAGACTTCTATCTAACCTATTCACGGAAATTCAAATTTTTTGGCGCATTGGTTGCTTGGCAACAAATACTTAATCCTTACTAAGCGAAAACCCGGTAATTATATTGCAAATCAGATTGATATTGCAAATCAGTAATTTTGGCCATTTCAATTTCCCGTATCTAGCCAAATAAGACACTCCTGCTAAGCAAAAACCACTCATCTACATAGTACTAAACGAGAACACCGCATCTGCATGTGTCGCGTGTGCAGTTACGTGGTTCTCGCCTAGCAACATGGTTTTTCGATTTCTTACAGTATGTGAAATATGTATGTACAGGGTGGCCAACTAAGAATCCAGAGTTCGATACCTCTGTTGTCTTGACAGATACAAGAAAAAGTTTAGCATTCAAATTAAAGTGATAACCGAGCTTCACATTCCAAAATTTCTTTGAAATACACAGGGTGTTCCGTAAGGTCACAGCACATCAAAGTTATGTTTTTTTCATTGGAACACCCTATATATTATTTCATTTTTGAATTCTTCCTGAAGATCTGATTCCAACGACGTATCATACTTAGGGTCTAGCAGTGAAAGTTACTGACATATAGGGTGTGCAAAATCGAGATTTTCCAAGTTCAGGATTTTTTTCTGTCGAAACTGTTCATTATTCGTCAAAACGGTTTACATGTCCCTATCTCACTTTTTCACTCACTATCAATTGGTGTTCAATTGACATTTAATTGAAACTAATTATGAATTGAGATTTTTTGACCACCTTGTATCAATTTCAATTGAACACCAATTGATAGTGAGTGAAAAGTTGAGATAGGGACATGTAAACCGTTTTGACGAATAATGAACAGTTTCGACAGAAAAAAATTCTGAACTTGGAAAATCTCGATTTTGCACACCCTATATGTCAGTAACCTTCACTGCTAGACCCTGAGTATGATGGGTCGTTGAAATCATATCTTCAGGGAGAATTCGAAAATGAAATAAAATATAGGGTGTTCCGATGAAAAAAACATAGCTATGATGTGCTGTGACCTTACGGAACACCCTGTGTATTTCAAAGAAATTTTGAAATGTGAAGCTCGATTATTACTTCAATTTTGATACATGACTTTTTTTTGTATCTCTCAAGACAACAGAGAAATCGAACTCTGGAGTCTTAGTTGGCCACCCTGTTACAATTCTCAGCAAAAACATCGCATCTGCTTTTTCATATTGAAAAACATAATTATTTGAATTGAATCCGGTTCAATCGATTTCAGAACGTTTTTGACATACAAAAATACTGATCCGACCCAAAATTATACTCAAGTAAAGGACAGCAATCAAATTCCACGGTTTAATTAGCTTTTTTGTAGATACGGGAGTTGTGCTTAGGGCGGCAGTAATTCACAGAACATTTCAAGTGATTTTTACAGCCTTCAAAGAATATGACATTGTATGTAGGGAAACTCAACTCATGTAAAACACATTAGATATATTTTCAAATTAAAATATAAAGACAGTTGAAAACCAGTATTTATTCAAAATAAAATTCTAACAATAACGTGCATACTTTTGAATTTCATGAAAACTCCATTCCTAAGCATAAATACAACACAAGAAATAAAGAGATCTGACATCAGACTTAACTAGGCACAGTTATATACAGAGAAAATCCATATAACATTCAAAACAAATATGGAATGTCCTACCTTCAAACATCAGAAATTTGCCAATTAAAAATATGAAAAACAAACCAAAAACATACATAAATTAACCTTGTTATCGTAATGTATACTATTTTATTTTAGCCGTGTTGTATTGTAGGTTTGTGGATTGTTTCATGGACTATTTATTATTATTTTGTATATGTTGTATGTATCTTTTAATTCTATATTTTTTACGAACTCAACACCCAGTACAGCGTATTTTGATGAAAATGCTATTATATTCTATTCAATGGATTTTTATTTTTCTCTCCTGTAATACCCAATAATTATTTTTCTGTTGATTCAAATATGAATCGAATTTCTTGTGGTTCATAGTTTTCATGATCAGATATTTCCACAAAATTGCAAAATTTTTGAGAGTCATGAAATTTTTATTGTAGTTATCATCTAATATGAAATGGGGTGCTGAAATACCCCACGCTACCAGATACGTTTCGGGAAAACACGATACCAGTTGAGGGTTTGTTACGTTTTCACAAGAAATTATTCATTTATTGAAATTTTTCTGATGGCCAAAGAAATTGTTTCGGATCACACGTTAAAAGCTAAGACCCCGTCAGTCCAGTCTCTTGAAGACTTCTGAGGGTTGCTCGTGAGGGGGCAACCGAATGATAGATAAGAACAATTTTAGCACAATCATTCATTCATTCATTCATTCATTTATTGTTAATGTTCATTGCAAAATTGCAAAAACCCCTAAAATACTACCAGTCAAAAGCACATCCCTCTAAAACGGAAACTAAATTTCAAATACCTGTATATCACTTTTATTTTCGTCTTCAATAGTTTATTGAAGAAAAGTATTGGCAGTACATTTTCTATTTTCTGTTTCCCCCTAATCCAACTCATAATTTTTACACCTTACACAAATGCGTTTGATAATAAAAACAATCAGTTTTTTTAGTTCACAGGATTTTCAGAAAAAAAAAACGTTTTATCGGGTTCTGAAACTAGACGACACAATTGATGTTCTTCATAATTCGTCCGTAAATGGGTTGAGCTGGAATCTTTTATATCGCTCACCTTTCCGGTTGTCTGTCCATACAGAGCATAGAAGTTCCTGAGTTCGTCCTCGGATGCGGCGCCCGGCAAGTCGATCTTGTTGCCCAAAATCAACACCGGACAGTTGGACAACGTCTCGTCGGTGAGCAGCGAGTCCAGCTCCTGCTTGCTCTCCACCATCCGAGATCTGTCGTTGGCGTCGACCAAGAAAACGATGGCGTCCACCGCCGGGAAGTAGTCTTTCCACACTCTCCTCGCTGGAAACGGTAGATTCTTAGATAGATACGGGTGTATCATGATTTATTTATTAATTCACTAACTTTACAGAATAATTCCGATGTAAAACTAAAATATACTGGGTGCAATTCAACTCGTTAACTGACAACTACGAGATAACTCGTTGATTTCGTTCTTTTCTAGGACGCCGACCAAAAGTTTTCTCGTACTGTGTTTATTCGCCATAAAAACATTATTTATGAATATAATTATAAACATGTTATTCAAATTCAAGAATATTTTCAATGTTTGTGAACCTTTCCACTATACAGAGTGTCCCTAAAAGGTCTTTACAAAAACTTACTACATATTCTTCGGACCAAAATAATTCGATACAAACATACTTACCTGAGAAGAAAGTTACAATTTTCAAATCGTTTTTGACTGCTCAGGAAATTTTACACAAAATTGGTATGTTGGTATAACTTTATTGGGTAATAAAACCCATATCATGATGATTATGATGAATATCATGCCATGGGCATTGATCTTGATTTTTTCAAGTATATAAACATATGTAACTTCTACGCTAATGGAAAGAATGGAGTTTGAACATGAAATTTAGATTGCGTAAATTGTTTACTTCAGAAAGGTACCCCTGACAAAATTCGAATAACAGATATTTCATTAAAATTGTTCAACATTTCCATTCTTTCCACGTATACAAACAAAATAAATATGAATACGACGAAATAAATTGAAATGTGTTGTTTTTTTTTATTCAGAGTAAGCCAGAGCCGTCTAAAGCTACTCTTACATTACAGCCTTTTCATAGAAATTGCTGGCAACTGAATTGCTGGCCTTTGTTAAACAATAATTGCGCATGCGTTTCGGCCTATTTTCACTGCAAGTTTCAGGCTTGAAATATATAGAAATGTTTCTAATTTTGAAGGTCATTCACGCGCAACTTTGCATATTTTTAGTGATTTTAGATTTTGACAACTTAATTATCGTTTTGGTGGTTCTGTATAATGGTCGACTATAAAGTAGAAGAAGAATCATTAACATTAAATGTAGGCTCATCCATTCTCAGATAGTTTTTAAGAGCTTTCAAGTCATTACACTCTTTGAATTCATTAGTTATTCTTAAGTTTCCCATTGTTTTATTTAACCATGGTTTGTTCCAACAGGATCTATTCCTCCTGTTTTTCATGCGCCTTTTTATGTAAGTGGCAAGAGCAGCAGTAGTAGTAATTGCCATGAGTAAAACTTTTCCTTTATCCATTTTCAAAATGAATTTCCACCTAATTTCGCTTGACTTGTTTATTTTGAAATATCAACAACTTATAACGTCAAAAATGATGTCAAATGTCAACGTCAATAGTTCGAAAACTCTGAAAAAGTCTTGGAAAATGTCGCAAATGTAAGAAGACTAGTTTCTCTAGTTTTTAATTTTGCGTGCAATTTATATTGCTTGCAATAAAGTTGCTGCAAAAAGGCTGTAATGTAAGAGTAGCTTAAGACCAGGGCCTCTATCTCACCGGGCCGGAGCATCGCTTTCGTGACGTCACACTAGTAGGGATAAAATCGAGGCGCTTTAAATTGCCTTTCCCAATTCATTGATGTACCACGGGAAAACGGTGAAAGTTATCAAAAAATGTCAAGAGATCAAATATGTACAGACTAGACTTTTTCAAGAGATGAATCAATATTCACTGATTTACGATTAATAGTTCAAGAAATATAGCATGTCAAAATGATTTGACTACATTCAGAATTGTCGTTTTTTAAACAGCTGCTAGAATTTCAATATTCAATTCACAGAAATGATTCAACCATGCAAAGGCTTCTCATGGTATCTAGATTGACTGTAATTTTTTACCAAATTCCCAAGAGCCAATAACAAACCGATATTTCAATTCAAGTAAAATGGCGATTCAGATGAATATTACAGACTAGTTCAAGAAGTTTAGACGGCCTCCATACTAAACCTATTAGTTGTGGATAGAGTCACTAGATGGTATTAGTTTGATAAGAGTTCGGACACAGAAATGACAACGGTTAGGGTTTTTGAATGTTTATATTTATAAAGTTACACACCATGCATTGTGACAAGAGCACCATAGTCGTCCCGCGCTTTTTCATTTAAAATTTTTTGAATTTGACAATTCATTTCATAAACGTCAGAATTGAAATAAAATTTCATAATAATTATACTTTCGAGATGAAAGCAGCTATGGAAATCACTTGCTGTATAATAAATTGTGCCAATTTTGAAACAAATGGATATCATTTATTCGATTTTCCAATTCAAATATCAAGCATTCGCTTATATGGAAGGAAGATATGAAACGGCCTGGGTGGAAAATCAATTTGAAGACGAGCGAAATTTGTGAGGTAGGTACTCATTGAAATTCACTTCTTATAACAGCATCTGATTAGAATGAATCTATATTTTAGGCCCATTTTCAAACAGAAGATTTCAAAATCTGTTTGAGAGAATCTGCTGTTCCATCAATTTACAAAGCAGACGATTTCAAGAACAAAATTCCATTATTATCATCACACAAAATACAAAACAAAATAATCATGGAAGAAGGAGAAATGCTCGCAAAATTACCTTATGAAATTGAAAATTTGAAAACGAAACTAAGAAAAGCAAGTGAACTACAACGTGATATATTATTGAATGGCGTTTTTGGTGCTGACCGCGAATTCAAAATTCAACAGTGAAAAGTGAATAGATATTTATGTATCAAGGGAATTATTATAAGGGCCTTAATTACGCTGAAGGTCATCGTTTTGTAGATATTCGGGTCAATTCTGTTTGCAAATAGCAATATGGTTGTAGAGAAGATATTTCTATTATAGCAAGATTCGAAAAAGTGGAATTCTAGTCATCGATTTTTGGCAATATGATCTGTCAATTTCAATGAAATCTGGTTAGCTTTCTTGCTATCTCGGCAACATCAATTTTGTGCTTGCTATCTGATAACATGGTAGTGGATTCTTTGTTTTTGCACTACAAATTCTTCCAACTGTATGAAAATTCAGAAAATAGTGGATTAAAAACATATGAGAGTTCAGTTGTGTCACTGACTACTCGAAAACCTTTCCTCAAAGTTTCAATTCGTAGAAGAATCATTAAAAAACTTGGTGATTACAAACATATAGGATAGGTTCACTGCTGCGTACTGTGACCAACTACTTGAAAACCTCTTCTTGAAGTTCCAATTTGTAGAGGAAATATGAGACTACAATTTCGGCATATCAGAGAAATTTCAGTTGCCTGATGGATAGTTTATCGAGCTATTTTGCTAGAATATTAAAAAAAAATCACAATTTGTTTCATCCGGATTTTAGTTGTTTTTTCATTTCGGGGACATGATTGATTACTTGCACCAGTCGCACAACGACGACCAGATTAAGCAAATACAAAATCTCTCGATTTGAACAATATAATTTTGTAAAATGTCAGTGCAGGACTGACTAATTTGAGAGGTTAGATAATCATGAACTCTTCTTCTTCATGAAATAATGGCAAAATCGATACCTAACACTTGAACAATTAGTTGAAAACAGTGTTGTCAGCTCAAAAATTCTCAATTTTTCAACAATATTGCTATCACTTGAACTTATAACCAGTCTTGCAGTTACTCTGCAAACAGAATACAGAACTTCATAGCAATATTGTTATATGTTATGATCATAACAATATTATCATCTTAGCAATGTTATAATAAGATCCGAACAGAATCGACCCGATTATCTATATCGATCCATGTTACTTAGCTCTTAGGGCGGGCGCTAAGTGAAGTTGCTGAGAACTTAACAAAACCAAGTATTTGGTAGGTCTCGTCAAAATAAATTACTTTTTTCCCATGAAATCTTTATCGAAAAATCATTTGTTCTGTATTTCAACACCATGTATCTCAGAAATGAAGCATTTCCAGACACAAGCTTATATAGACTTTATTTCTTGAAATTGTCTCAGGAATACTTCACTGGAGTACAGTTTCACATACAATAAGGAATTATAGCTATAAATTTATCCATATGTATATATTCTCTGATATTAAAATGTTGTACATGCATTTTTTTCTTGCTCTTGCTCTGCTAGAAGGGTATCACTATGAATTGAAGTGGGTGTTTGTATCCTATATCCATTGTCCATCTACGGCTATGATCGATTTGACAGAAAATATAACCTCTAAAATCGTATCTGACAATCAGGCGCTACTAGGGAAATTGAAAAGACAAAGAGCAGAATATATGTCTTATTCTTTTATTCACTTTAACCATTGTATTATAGAAAATAGAAAAGGACAAAAGTTCAGCTGTGTCCGAACTCTTATCAAACTAATACCATCCAGTGACTCTAGTTGTGGATATATGCTGTCACTGACTTTTTTGTAGTAAATTTCATTGCTTTCAAATCGATATGATACACTTTTACTATATCTCAGAGGATTTTAGCAGCGTTTATGTCTTAAGATAATCTGGACACACTTTCATGACGTTAGCCGAGTAGAAGTTATCATGCAAAAACCCTGAAAGCGAATTAATTATTTTCAGTTATGGAGTATATATCTTAGATAGAGCCGGGATTGGCGCAGTGGAAGAGCGTCCGTCTCACGACCGCAAGGTCCTGGGTTCGATTTCCAGCACGGGCAAGGAACTTTTTTCAATATTTTATTTACGAATTAAATATTGTCAAGTTTCGGAGCATCGGCTGGGGATAGTCCTGCACGATTCGCTGTTGCGTTCCAATTAACAGTGCTGCTCCTAAAGTGGCGCATGGAGTTAGTAACAAAGCCTACACAGAACACGCAGAAAGATATGATGATGTGGTTGTGAGCATCAGAGAAGAAGTAGGACGGTGTATGTAGGTGGGTGTGGAAAAACTACCAGCTGAGCGTGAGAGCGGGCCAGCTGCTTAAGTAGACCTCGGTCTCGGGGGTTAACGATGATAGTTAGCAGGCCTGCCACTGCGCATATGGTAGTGAGTACATTACTAGCCTACAAAACGCAGCTGAAAAAC